GCTGTATCCATGATGGCTTTGATCATCTGATCCTATGCTGCGGCGCTTAAATAAAAACTAATTTGATTGCAAAAGGCTCTTTAGTTTTTAATTTAGCTGTATTCTGAACTCCACGTTGCATGGAGGAGAGTGGATTTTCCATGGTATCTGGCCATCAGCCAGCAGCAAAGTCTCTTAAAAGAAAGGGACACTCTTCAAACAGTTGAGCGTTTGACATAAATCCATTGTGTTCTGACATTTTTCTTATTCGGTAGCTCTTAATCGCAACGGTTCCAGACACGGTACATTTGTGAGGTTTATTTTAGTAACGGGACGTTGGCTGCGTTTCAGAATATGGACATACATATCTAGAGAAAGCCCTGGGTAGTCATCCTGCTGGAAATCTGCAGAAAAAAGGCCTAATTCTGCTCTACAGATGATGCAAGCAACTGCAATCCTTCTCCCCTCAGCTGCTTTCTTCTGGATTCACAACAGCATCGCTGAGAACTGCACAGGGTCCCAGCTGCCGAGACCAGCTCCGACAGGGCAGGCCATCTGTCTGCTCCAGATGGTTTGTAGCTGGTCACATATTAACTCCTTTAAACAGGTCTGTGTTAAGGTATCAGCCTTCCAAAACGCTGCTCCAAATTCGCTGGAGGTCTAAAACGACTGAGTTCAACGATGTTCCGCTCCGAAGGAATTTGACCCTTCAAACTCTTCTAACTGATGTCGCAATACTGTTAATAGCCGGATTTCTGAGGGCAGCTTGGTGTGAGGCTAGCAGTACCTTTGACCCTCCCCATCTGTCTCGGGGCTGCGGCAGATGAGCCCCACCAAACCTCGCCATGCAGCTGGCAAGGTCCTTGCTCCCATCACAGAAAGGGAAGGAGCAAACGGGCTGGCATTCAGCGCCAGTGCAGGGCTCAGCCCGCAAGTTTGCACCGACCCACGCGCCCCTTGGCAGCTCACAGGCTAGTCTGAGAGCGGGGAGGCTGAAGCAGAGCCAGGTCTGTCGTGCCAGTGATGGGGTAGACCTCGGGGCACCCCCGCTCATCAGACCAGGTCCTGGGGTGCCCGTTCTGCTGCTTCCCGGCAAGACTGGGATCCACATATCACCACGGAAACACAAAACAGCTCTTCTGAAAGCAAATATAGTTGATTTCAAACAGCAGCAGCAAAACACGAGAAGGGGGTTTCGCTCACAGCCCTTCTATGTGTATTTGGTTCCCTAGGGGCTAGTCCAGTACCTGGCTTCTGGGGCTGGGAGGTAACATTTCTCCCCTAAGCCTGAAGAGACAGGGCTTGTTATTTTCAAAAAGTCCTTTTTCCCAGGTTTCTGCCTGATTCTCTCCCTCCTCTTTGCCAGCCCAGGTTACTGATCTCAGCAGGGTCACAAGTAAACTTCAAAGGGACTCACACTTGCGCTGCTTGTTGAGGACCACGAATGGCACCATCTGAGCCTTATCATTTCCCCTCCTGCCTCCACGTGAGATAACGGCACCGCAGGAACCCTCTGGCCATCATGCATCCGGGCTGGTGACAGCAGTCACACCACCAGCCAGGACACACATCGTTCGCTGCTAACTACTCCTATTTCTTCATAGCTGCCACTGCAGTGCCATCCCGCAGGCAGCACAGGCTCCGGCACGTGCACCCAACCGTCCGCTGCTTTGCCAGCCACAGGGGAGGGAAGGATCACGGAGAGAAGCGGCAGCCCCAACTCGCCGAGCCCTGCACAAAGCCATGCCATTTGGAGCAACCACCAGTGACACGTGCTGCCTTTTACCTAGCACGAGACTGGAGTGACATCTTCTCTTTCATTTCTTCAGTCCATTTTCCACCCTCAGAAGATGTGGCGGAGGTTTGCACACTGGCTGTCTTAACATCAGCACGAAAATCTCTATTTAGCCTCTTTTCAGTGGTGCTGAGCAGTCCTATCTGCAGCTGAGCACACTGGACGGTGAGAGCACTGAGCACCCAGGGCAAGAAAGGCCTCAAGTCTCTGAAACATTCATGTCAGAATCTGACTTGACTTGCATCTGAAACGTTGGCCCGGGACATTTCCATTCTGCAAGTCAGTTTGTTCCTCTCCTTTCCCCCATTGGAGAGGAGCAAACTGTTCACCTGAGCTCAGCCTGTGCCCGCTGCAAAGCACATCAGGGTGGCCTGAGCCACCCAGGGTGGGTCATGGTGATGTGGACACCACTGAAGGAAGAAGAAACTGTTCCAAAGTTAAAATATGCTCCCAAACTTTACATTGTTCTCTCCCCATTTGTGAAAAGGTCTTGGTGATCTGCAAACGAAATCCTCTGGCTACAGTGAAACATGCAGTTCCTGAAGAAACAACTTCAGGTGAATTTTGCAAGTTGTTCCTTCCCCCTTGACTACGACCAAAATCAGGAGGAACTCAAGACCAGACTGCAGCAGCATCAGGCACTCTTTTGTCCTGAAATACCCTGATTTCACCACAGCATATAAAATCAGAGTGGCTATGACTCACCACTGCTATTACACAATTTTTCATGATGTCACATTATACCTGAAGGAGCAAGGGGGTAAGTGAAACATTAACGAGACTTTACATTTCTGGGTGATGACACCACAGCTGTAAGGCACCGAGGCAGCGTTTAAACAGCTGTAAAACCAAGCCCCACTTTGCACTGTAATTGTCTGTGCATTAGAAATAGATTTGGTTAGAGCTACTTGGTTACAAGCTCCTGCACTTAGGTAGAATTTCACTCCCTTAACAACCCAAGCTCCCACCCAAACCACGGCCTCTTCTTGTGCCAGGCAAACACAGCCATGGGCACCCCAGCCGAACGTGGGGTCCGGCAGCCCCCCTTCAAACCTTCGCACCCTGCTAGCTGCACCGCAGCGCTGTGGAGGCAGCCGGGCTCCAGCCTGCTGGGTGGGAATCCCTGGTTCGGAGGGCGATCCCCAGGTCACCCTGTTGGTGAGGTGCCGGTGGGTGGATGGACAAGGGGGAGGCTGCCTAGAGCCAGCTGCCCCCGCCATTATCGTAATGCTGATGGCAGAGGGGACAGCCCTTTGGTCCTGGAGGATGTGCCGAGATGTCCCTGCCTTTGACAGGCCCCTATGTTGGGGGACCCAGCCCACAGTCAGCACATGGGGGGTCCCAAGCCATCACCCCCAGTCTGTAGCCACCAGCTGGGGTGAGGGTCTCTGGACCCCTGGTCAATGTGTGTGGGATCCCCAGGGGGTCCCCATCCCACAGCCAACGTGTAGGAGGGCTCTAGATGTCGGTTAACAAATAGGGGGATCCTCTGCCCCTCCCACAGCAGGGCCCCAAGTCCCTCGCCAACACACATAGCAGGGTCCCCAGCCCATGGCTCTCACATGGGGGTGTCCCCAACCCCCCCAAAAAACCCACGGCGGGCTTTGGCCCTAGCCAACACGTGGGTACGTGTGGGAGTCCCCACCTCCTGCCTCCCCACGGAGGGGTCCCCGACCCACGGCCGGAGCACGGAGGTTGGGGTCCCCCTCCTTGGTCGGCGGAGGGTCCCCAGCCCTAAGCCGGTGAACGGAGGGGACTCTGCTCCTGCCG